TACATTAACACAAACAAGGCAAAGAAAATACATTTACATTTATTACATTCATATAAGGTAATTGTTGACAATAGAAGCATCAAAACCATTTCCACATCCATATGATTCGATTGTACAAATGTGACTATATCAGTACTCTACATTGTTTCAACAGTATTACAGCTGTATGATGTATTTGTAAACAAATCGCGTCTGAACCAGACAATCCAGTGATTGTCACCATGCGATACGATGACAGAGTATGTGATTATGAATCACTGTGAAATAGCAATTATGATACCAGGTGTTCGGGAAAAGGTGAGCGTATCCTGTCCCACCGTTGCCACTCGTCATAAACAAACATATGCAAAGTCTATTCAATTTTCACCTGAAATAATTCATGAACTTATGGTACATGTATAAGTCAAAATAGGGAATTGCATCGGACATCCTTTTTTGTCAATGATGTATCAAATTTCGAAATGTCCTCCACATTTCTTGAAACCATTAATGAAGCTTTGAATGTTGTAATATTGATCGAACAACTTCAGAGCAAGATTGGTATGTCACGGTTTGAAATCTTGGTAAATGAAGCATGCAGAGTGTTTGGGTCTCGAGGTGGGCACATTTGCGTAGTATCCTAGGACAAGATACTTAGATCCACATTGTTTCAGTTCACCTAACTGTAAAATGGGTACCCGTGAGGATGTGCTGGCAATGTGAGTGGTTAGCTCCTTGCACCTATCAGGCAGCACGGCTGTATGATCCCCAGGGAGTTGACAAAGTATCGGAAAGTACGATAGTGTCCTATGACAGGATAGGATAGTAATGTACGTAGTGCCGTGAGCGGGCAATTTGCCTGGATATGAGCGCTATATAAGAGGACTATTACTATTACTATCTCAAAAGTAGTGAAATGTAAACACCGAAGGCTGGAGCTGTTGGAATATTGTTTGACAAAAAGTTGATTATTCGGAAGCTGAAATCTTCCCTTTTGTCGTACAGCCTTGTGGAGAGTTTTTGTGACTCTGAATCTTTATGCATAACATGGAACAGCGGGGGCTGTCTTGTTTTACAATCACCACAACTACCACAACCGCCCAAATGGTGAAATGGTGTGAATAGTACCACAGCTTTACTGCACATTATATATGCCATGAGCCCAACTAATGTGACCATACAGAAAGATATGTATTTAATTCACAGTCCAGTCAGACAGACAATCTCTCTCACGAAGGACCAGGTGAACAAACAGAGGATCAAAGGAAACTTTACCGAATAATTAAACATGACACATTTCTCAGTTTGAAAGAGGTGATTTGTGGCCAGGTAATCGTGTTTAATGATTCAAGAGAGGCTTGGTTAAGACATTACCCTTATCAATTTTGAAATGCAAGGCAAAATGTATTGATTTAATTAAGGAAAGTTGTATCGGAAAGTACGATAGTGTCCTATGACAGGATAGGATAGTAATGTACGTAGTGCCGTGAGCGGGCAATTTGCCTGGATATGAGCGCTATATAAGAGGACTATTACTATTACTATCTCAAAAGTAGTGAAATGTAAACACCGAAGGCTGGAGCTGTTGGAATATTGCTCGACAAAAAGTTGATTATTCGGAAGCTGAAATCATCCCTTTTGTCATACAGTCAAGTGGATAGTTTGTCACTCTGAATCTTTATGCATAACATGGAACAGCGGTGACTGTCTTATTTTACAATCACCACAACTATCACAACCGCTCAAAACGCCAGATTTTTAACCCAATAGGAAGCGAAAAGGATTGATATGCTTTGATGAAAATATTAAAATCATTGGGTTTTGCAAAATGAAACATCAAACGTTGTTGAACATGCTGCCTGTCCTGAAAAAAAAATAATCATTTGAAACATTTCATTTACAGTTCCCGACTCATTTCAATAATCAAGCGAACGTAAACTATCTCTTATGCCGTTTTATACGGCAATCTATATGGCGGCGTTCCGTAACTAATCAAATCTGGACCAGGCAATCTAGTGATCGCAACTTTTCAGTAAACGTCCGAAAGCATTTGCTTTCACTCTTTAAAAATTGCCCCGAATCACCGACATATTTGTAGCGATATCTATGTTCACTGCGTGGAGAAACAAATGTCCAGTGCATCAAATGATCTGAGTTATTCTTGGTTTATGCATAGATTAAATTATGCGACATTTTGTTGTGCAAATACATCATTAAACAGATGTATAACTGTATTATATTGTTTGTGTTGAAATTTAGTTGAGGACCGTGTTGAGCACGGTACTATATGTCTCGAGCAATACATGTATCTGTTATACCTGAACAGCATGCACTACCACAGCATGGGATGAAATATTCTAAAGGCTGTATAAGGATGTAGCTTGGTGTGTGCATCTGCCATCCATACTTAGAGACCAGCGGATGCATAAAGAAAATACTTTCACCCTTGATATTCTACCTATTTTGGACGTTTGACCATTGTTTACTGTTAGGTGACCAATACCATCACTGACTTATTGCTGTTACTATTGTTGTTATATCTCATACTGCCAATACATTTGCACTGCCATTTATAAGAAAGTGGAGGAGTAGTAACATCAAACTCAATGATGACAAGACGTAGCTGCCGTTTGTATTATAAAAGAGGATGACAATCCAGATAGAGTATCCACAAAGAAGGTTGTGTCAGATTCAACCAAGTAGGCAAAACATTTTTTAATCGAGCAGCTTCTGTGCCTTCTCTCACCTATAATGAACTAAATGTAATGGTACTGCCATTGACATATGCACTGCCACTGTAAATATATTGCATATTTCTATTCGTTATTGTAGGTGGATTTAGAATACCATTGTTAATATACATTTCTTTGTTGTGTGTTGGTTTATTTTCTGTACAGATTGGACAGCCAGATAAATAGCTATTTTCACATTACCACAGCCTGCGTCGCATCTATAAGAAAGTAGAGGAGGGATATCTTCCAACAAAACACAATGATCACAAGTCTGAGTTGCTGAGTTTATCAGCGTAGAAGAAGATGGCTCTCGAGATGGAGGTTCCACTTTTCATAATAGGGCAGTGAGATTCAGAAAGTATAAAAGCAAAACATTCTTGAGTTATGTTTTTACTTTTCTTTAAATGAGGAAGCACGTATCGATTCACCTTTCCTCCTATGGTTTTGGAGTTGTTTGGGTCTCTCAGGAAGTTGGCAATAGTTCTTTATTTCTTAGTAAATTTCTGCAAAGAGTTAAAAAGAATGTCACTAGCAAGATTGGTTTTTTTGAATCAAATAATGTTTCTATGAATATAAATCGTACTTACAGCTGTATTATTTATCCACTCTTAAGGATCGTGAATATGAAGGTTATAACTTTGTTTAATGATAAACTTAGACAGGTGAATGAATTATTTATAAATTTTCTATGAATGGATGTAGAGAAGATGAATGCCATTTTCTGTCAAAGTAAAGTTTATTCCATTTTAAGACATTTTGTTTGAATATGATAAACGTCCTGGTACTTACGTTTAATGTATTATAAAGTTGTTTAAAGTAAATATCTAATTAACTCAGCAAAATTTGAAAGAAATTTGTAAAATTTTGTCGTTATCATTACTAATGTTGAGTTTTGTATGTATGGAGAAGATTGAATGCTCAGTCTTTCGTGATCATTGTGTAAAGTAAAAATATTCCATTTTGGAAGACATACTTTGGTGTGTTGGTATAAATCCTTTTTCCTGAATATTTCTGGAAACATCCTTCTGACTTATTTGCGTTAAAAGTCACCTTCATAACATCAGCGTAATATGTACGTTATAAAGTTGTAATTTGTTCTGGAAAGTAAATATCCTAATTAACTTAGCAAGATGCAAGATTCTACAGCCAGATTCACCACAAGAACAAGCAGATACGTCCAAATAGCCCCTTGTCTTGAGGTCATTATATTGGCTGTCCAATGAAAGACAGTATCCAGTTCTAGGTTCTCTCTTGTATTCAAGGCTCTGAATGATTTGGCTCCGACCAGTGAAGATCCGGGTTAGAATTGATCTTCAATAACCCATGCTTGTCGTAAGAGGCGACTAACGGGGATAGGGTGGTCAGGTTCGCTGACTTGGTTGACATATGTCATCGTATCTCATTTGCGTAGAATGATCACTGGATTGCCTGGTCCTGACTAGATTATTTACAGACCTCCGCCATATAGCAGGAATATTGCTGAGTGCAGAGTAAAAATAAAATCACTCACTCACTTTGGCACTGGCATATCTTGCTGATCTACTGCATGCCTTTTCGGTCACTGTCATGGGAGGGATTAGAAATGTCTTCATACATTTAAATCTTGTACACTAATCCTGGCCAAAACATCTAGGCCAGGTCTGTGGAACAATGTCCCACAAAGCAAAGCACTTTGAAATCTTTGCTGAAAATTCATTGTCCATGAGCGAACAAGGGGCTTTAACGTCGCACTTAAGAATATTTCTCTCGTATGACGAGGTGTGTATGTGTGGCTGCTTGTACTTGCCCAGACTTAAGCTGGTTTTATAGTGCTAGCTCACTGAGATACCATGCCGCAGTTAAGCATCAATACCCCACTCAGACACATTATACTCACTCCGAGCTGACCAGTCCTTGTTGTACCCATTAATGCCGAAGCGCCAGGCAGGGACCAACAGGTACCATATTTTAACGTCTTTTGGTATGACGCGACTGGGATCGATCCCCGACCTTCCGCTCTCCGGGCGGATGCTCTAATCACTACACTACGGAGTTGGTCATGAATCAATGAGCTATTTAGCAACAACGTATTGCTGGATACAAGGGCTATATAAGTGAATATTTTGATTGAGTGCTGGCAAAAATTATTGGCTAATAAGTTGAAAACGTAACCGTATATAGTGAATATTACTGACTGTGACGGTAAGTAACTTTCACTCAATAATGTTCCCTTTATATTCTATGACACATCGAGTTGAGAAAATGATACATTTCGTTGTTTCTTGCAAAATATAAACAGTTACTATAAAACAGAGAATACAGTCATTTATTCGTTGTCTGTTACGGGTTAAACAAAACCAAATGTTTTCCCATAGACTTCCATAGGAGTGTTATATGTTAAAAAATAACCAGGTCGTAAATAGCCGTTAAATATATATATTCATATATACATATATATGCAGATTATGACTTTAAGGCCACAAGAACACATTTTTATTTCAATGTTAACAAATTCCTTTTCCAAATACAGAACGTTGAAGCCACTAACACAAGTTATTTCTGCACACATTCAGCCTAAGTCGTTGTGTTAAAGTAGACAGCACCAAATATTGAAAAATATGGTCAGTTTTACTTACTTGACATTTGCAAAAGAAACCTCATACTCAATCTCACGATCACAGCAGTGAGATGATTCTGCCTGAAGGCCACAAAAAGTTTTTGTTAATCTACGGAATCTAGTTTGGAGCGCTATGACCTGTACACCAGTGGGAACTCCACCTGCCCGGCGTCTGTAAACACTTATGAAGTGTGTTTACCCTTTTCCTGTAACCAACTGAAGAACATTTTAGCCGCTTTCGCCGTCAGTTCGATGCGATCATCCACCTACAAAGACACAAATGTACCTTTACCATGAACTCGCCTTTCCCAACCAAAAGGAATATATACTGATGAACAAAAGAAAGTACTCACCTGGTGTTTTGAGACTATTAAAAAATATTAGTGTTATTGCAGCACGTACACAATGTTTGTGACTTGTGAGTGAGTCACAATCAAAACACTGTTTTTAGAAAAACATTTTACCAAAGCATCAGGTGTGTGCTTTCTTTTGTACGGCAGTTTGCATCTCGATACCTATTGTACTTGTGTTCACCTATAGCGATGTTTGTAGCTTTTGTCATAGCCTTACATTTTTCTTTGGGAACCTTTTCATGAGAACCCATGTTGGGGCATCGGCAGTTTGACATTGGTCATGCATTAAAACTGAAGTTGAAATCGTTTTGGAACATACACAGTTACTAAAATTTTACTCATTAACGGGTTGTTGGCTAAGTTTCATATATGCAAGTGCTATGTTTACATGTTGTATGGTTATGTGGCCTGGCGAACATAACTAATGGTACTGTGATAAAAATATATACTTCAAATACCATATTCCTTCAATGTTTGACTTCCTGAAATAAATGGGTGACATATATATGAGCTTGACATGTGATATTTACACACATATTTTAAATTATAGTTAAGAGAGGGTAAATGCGTTATCTTTGGACCCCATACCCGTCAGTTAGATTATAACATAATTACATTGAACAGAACACATGTCATTTCTACTTTGGAAACGAAGAAAATGATTCCCACCTGGTCACTTATTTCAATGTCGTAGCAGCACCACGACACGAAGTGTTCACAGTTGCTGGCAAGCAGATTATATCCCTCTCTGCCAAGCTGGCTCTTGGCTCTCTTTACGATATCAGATTTGCTGAAGGCTCTGCAAAGTGGATAAAATGTATCTTCCTTTTGACTGTATGTTTTCTGCATTCGATAGTACAGTTCCCCAAAACTATGACATAAGTCTAAAATATGAAGATAATGAACTTTCAAATTATTCAGAAGTGTACAAAAGAATAATAACATTCTGGCCCCAAACCGGTAATAAAAAATATTAGTCTATAACAAACAGCACAAATGAGGTCAACATCCGGGCTTCTTCATAGGTAACTAATACCCAAATTAACTTATCCATGGCAACTCTTGTGTATGATATCTTTTTTATTGAAGAATGTATTTATGTCCATGATTTTGCACTCTGTGGGTGGTTTAAAGAGAACAAAAACCCAGAACCGAGAGTCAGCCCTCAACATCTTCAACATCCCTGTCCGAAACCAGAAAGAGTAGAACTGTGTATTACTACTCATACTACAACAGTTATCCACACAGGTGAATAATATTCAAACTTGTGAGATGCCCCAATAAAGCAGACATTCCTAACCAGATTCTCAGCGCCACTCCTTGACAGAAACGGCACCTTATGTCTTGCCCAATACCTGTCGTTTGCTTCTCTTAGTGTTCATGATACCTCAACTCTGGAGTGACAGGATTTATATGGGCTCTAATTTCTTCAGTAGATATGTACTTCATTCTTTCATTTGTTTCTCACTTTAGTCCGTATTTTTCGCCCTTGGAGTTGTTTTTATACATCTTGCTGTTCGCAGCAACATCCTTGATTTTGTCTCTACGGACAACGGCTTTTTCAGTCTTACTTAAGCTCTGACCATCAGGGCTGGCCAGGTGAATCACGTAACCATCACCTGAGGACAAATGTTCCAACCTATTACATGTTTTTCTCATTCAACACTGGACGGAACTGGGTGAGGTAGGTGTGTGTTAATGTGGTTATGTATTGTGTGTGGGTGGGGGTGTGGGGTGTGGGGTGGGGTGGGGTGTACGTGGGTCGGGGTCACTGATTTTGATCAATAGATGTTACTGGGAAATTGCAATGTATAGCCGATGAGAACAAATGGATTCTGAGCAGTGCATATTACTGAGGGATTACAGTGTATAGCAGATAGGTCAGAATTAATTCTTATCAGTGAAGATTACTGGGTGGTTACTGAGTATAGCAGATGGGAAGCATTTATTCTGATCAATAGATAATAGATGCTACTGGGAGATTGCAATGTGTAGCAGATTTGAAAGAATGGATTTTTTAGTGTTACTGAGTGATTACGTAAATTACCTTGGAAACTACTAACCAAAGGTGGGCCGAGACCATTCATTGTAGTTCATTTAAAGCGGACAATAAAGGAAATACGAATCTCTAGTTTATTCTTCTTCAAAGTGTCAAAGAGAATCAGTGAATATTTGCCTACCAATGTACACGGCCCAGTGACAATAGAACATTCTGTCAAACTCCACCTGGTCACCTGGCTCCAAGCTGGACAACACGTCGTTGTTGTGCTTTTGGACCGTTGTCATCTCTGCCATGGTAGTGATCGGTGTCAAGTGTCCTGTGGAGATGTCACGCTGTAAACCAAAAGGTAAAATGGACTATTATGATGCATTGTCTAAAATTAGTGACATTAAATGTCATTGGTATAGAGAGTTTATGAATACCGGTCGACTCTATTTCATCATAAACACATGTCCCGGCGGCTAAACAAACCATTGGTAATAACATATTTGACAGGCATACAGTCAGCTATGGTCATGAAGATAGGGAACACTGATGTTAGTTCTTTATAACCGTTCGTTCATACAATTTTCGCCAAACATATACAGTTAGTGACCGGAAAAAATAATACGTTATAAACGCAGTTTACCGTTTTCGCAATCACCAAAGCCATCGAGTATGAACTAATCACCAGGTTACTGAGAAACAATCTCTTCAGGTACAAATTATCCAGCAAACAGTACAGTGAGTTAAACAAAATGATCTGTCCTAAAGGGAGGCCATGTTTTATGGTTTGGTGCCAACTCTCAGTCCAAGTCTATAGGTTGTAGTGTCGCTAAAATTACGTGTCTGTGTAATTCATGTTTATGGATGTGTTTGTGGGGGGTGGGGTATGTAAACAAGGTAAATGTGTTGAGAAATAAGGTTGAACCACACACTTACAAATACTTGAATCACAAAGTAACGAAGAATGAATGATAAACCTAAAAGAAACTCACAAAAAAGCAGTCATATAGATTGCTCGTGCATTATTATTCTTTAGTGCTTTGACAGACGAGCTATACAAACACTTACAAGTCTTGCATTGACGTGCCTCAGAAACTTGACATATCTCAGCACAAACTGGGTTTTCCCAGACGAGCATTCCCGAGGAATTCTAACTGCGCGTGCCCCAATTGTCACATTTTAGATTTTCCGATAGTGTTACATTGGTTGACAACAGGTCCATATTTACATGTGTACATTGATGACCTGACCCATGTAAGACCTGACCCATGTAAGAAACGTTCATCTAGTTGCACTTCACATTTTGAGCGCTGTTTCCTACGTCCTCGGTTAAGATTACACACTGTCATAGTGGTGCTGTATCTGTCTCCATGCTGTCATAGTGGTGTTATGTCGATTGTCATTATGTCATAGTGGTGTTATGTCTGTCTCCATGATATCCTAGAGGTATGATGTCTGTTGTCATAATATGGCAGTGGTGTTATGTCTACCTCCATGATATCATAGTGGTGTTATGTTTGTTGCCATGATATCATAGTGGTGTTTTGTCTGTCTCCATGATATCATAGTGGTGTTATGTCTGTCTCCATGATATCCTAGAGGTATGATGTCTGTTGTCATGATATCATAGTGGTGTTATGTCTACCTCCATGATATCATAGTGGTGTTATGTTTGTTGCCATGATATCATAGTGGTGTTATGTCTGTCTCCATGATATCATAGTGGTGATATGTCTGTCTCCATGATATCCTAGAGGTATGATGTTTGTTGCCATGATATCATAGTGGTGTTATGTCTGTCCCCATGATATCATAGTGGTGTTATGTCTGTCTCCATGATATCCTAGAGGTATGATGTCTGTTGTCATGATATCATAGTGGTGTTATGTCTGCCTCCATGATATCCTAGAGGTATGATGTCTGTTGTCATGATATCGCAGTGGTGTTATGTCTACCTCCATGATATCATAGTGGTGTTATGTTTGTTGCCATGATATCATAGTGGTGTTATGTCTGTCTCCATGATGTCTTAGAGGTATGATGTCTGTTGTCATGATATGGCAGTGGTGTTATGTCTACCTCCATGATATCATAGTGGTGTTATGTTTGTTGCCATGATATCATAGTGGTGTTATGTCTGTCTCCATGATATCCTAGAGGTATGATGTCTGTTGTCATGATATGGCAGTGGTGTTATGTCTACCTCCATGATATCCTAGAGGTATGATGTCTGTTGTCATGATATGGCAGTGGTGTTATGTCTACCTCCATGATATCATAGTGGTGTTATGTTTGTTGCCATGATATCATAGTGGTGTTATGTCTGTCTCCATGATATCATAGTGGTGTTATGTCTGTCTCCATGATATCTTAGAGGTATGATGTCTGTTGTCATGATATCGCAGTGGTGTTATGTCTACCTCCATGATATCATAGTGGTGTTATGTTTGTTGCCATGATATCATAGTGGTGTTATGTCTGTATCCATGATATCATAGTGGTGTTATGTCTGTCTCCATGATGTCATAGTGGTGTTATGTCTGTTGCCATGATATCGTAGTGGTGTTATTTCTGTTGCCATGATGTCATAGTGGTGTTATGTGTTGTCCAATGCTATCATAGTATTTATTGTCAGAAATCCTGATATGTTTTACTTATCCGGGTTGGAAGCAAACTGACGCCAGTACAAGGTTTATTGTGTGTCTATTTTTGTGTCTATGTTTGATAGGCGTTCAAGGATCACCTCTTGTAATGCACAAGAGCGATATTGTAGAAAAAATCTATGATGACGTCACAATGACTTGATATGTGTCATAAAAAGTTATCAGTTCTAAAGACCATATCATCCTATGGTCTGTAACGTGGTATATCGAAATGTGCTTACACTCATCACAGCTTTCTGGTCAGTAGAATGCCGAATCCCATACAGTTTGCGTGGGACAACAGATTTCAACATGCCCTTAAAACATTGTTACAGCGAATACACTTGATAGCTAATGCAGAACATACACCACATCCGACAATTCATCTGAGTAATTGTTTTGTAACGGCGACGTCAAAGGCAGCAACGGCACTAGGACACCGCATCCGTCGACATACAATTGTACCGGCGGCTTAGAGAACATGGTATTCTAGCACGTCGACCCTACCTCGAAGTGCATCTGACTCTTCAAACTCGACGTCGTCGATTGACATTGGCCAGGCAAGTTCAACTTTAGTAGATGCGTAATTGGCGATGTGTGATGTTCACCGACGAGAGTAGGTTTTGCCTGTATATTAATGAGGCCCGAGCATGTGTTTACAGACGAGTAGGTACAAGTTTAGCGCCGAAGTGCGTTCAGCATGCCCGACCGTTTGAAGCCCATAGCTTGATGGTGTGGGGAGTGATCTCAAAACCATACTTGTGATCATTCATGGCAACCTGAATGCTCGAAGATACACGATTGATGACATTTTGCGATAAAAAGTCTTGTTGATTTGTGTAAAAGTTCAGACTATGATACCACTTGTCTTTCAGTGTCAGTAAAGCAATAGGTTTGACTTTGTATGAAATGAAATTGTGCACATTTGCTGTAGACTTCAATACTCTATTGAAATTAAACAGATGTTCATTTATGTATGCTTTATTTTATTTCCAGGTTTGGTAAAATATACTGTATACTTTCTTTTCAGCACTGGTTTACACCAGTTTATGACAGGGTTAAAAAATAGCCATAACATCGCATCTGTTGTATTCGTTGCTTCGATTCACAACGTCATTCCATTTTCAAGAACTGACACAACGTCAGCATGATTGCGCATTAAATGATATCGTGAAATATTATACATACGTCTGTGTCGAGATGATTTATCTCTTTGAATACACCAACCATTGTGATTGAAAATGTGCATTTAAGGTCTAAGGTTAGGATCCTGTAAATCCGAAAGGGTTGAGCGTTCTCACAGATCTATTCCTAAATGAACGTGAACTTGTGAACTAATAAGATTTTCATGAATGGATTAATATATATCGATAATATCCCTGTAAGAGGGATTTTCTTGAGAATTTTCCTCAGACTGAGAGACTTTCGTTACACTATCCCTGGAACACAGAGCTTTTCTATAGAATATTCCTGTTCCTGAGAGACATTCTTTAGAATCTTCCTGGAACATAGAGGTTTTATGTACAATATTCCTCTGCTTGTGAGACATTGATTAGAATATCACTGGGAAAAAAAGGATTTTCTATAGAATATTCTTGGTACAGACGGCTTTCAAGAGACTCTATGTGGTTACTAAACGAAAGGAATATCGCATAATTCTGTTGGAGTGTTGGTGGTGTAATCTCATATCGTTGTAGTGTTGCCACGTGACACCATGTTGTAGTGTTTCAATACAGCATAGTGCCAACATGTAGTGGTGTATATGTTAGAGTCAATATAATTTTCAGCGATTATGTACATTGTCTGATTCACTCAGTGATTATACATAATCACTGAAATTTTCAAGGGTTACACATAATCCGTGTATCCATTCAAAAAGGGCAACAATGGGCTTTGCTGATGAGAGAGGCTCATTTTGAAACAGAACACAAGGACACCCGCACCTCAGAAAAGGTCACATCCAAAATGGAGTCTGAGAGAGAGAGTTTCAGAAGTCACGTGTATACATTGTACATCCCAAGAGATGAATATCAGAAGACCATAAGTGAATTGCTGGAATTGTGCAGGGGTCAATAGGTGCCAGACAAATAGAGGCAAATGCTACAAGGCTGGTGAAAAGTGTTAGTCCTGCTTAATACAAAAGTCTAATTCCACATTTTTGGGGTGAAATATACCTCACACTAATACAAGAAGTGATTTCAGGGAATATGTCTAACATTCTAGTCTATGTTTCAGTGATTATCTATAATCACTAAGCGAATCAGACATTATACATAGTCACTGAACATTTCAGGGATTATACATACACCCTGGTTTTACATATTCACTGTAACACATACACTTGTACTATGTCCATATTTGCTTTTGCTCAGAAATATACCAACACTTACCTTCTCCGCCTCGAGATCCCTATCAATATCTCCGTCTGACTATAGATCTCACAATATACCTCTGTGCATAGCGTTACGTCATCCTACGGTTGGAAAGAACTATGCAGAATTTTTTGTATTGTGAGAAAGTTGGGGAAAGGACAAAAGGACTCAATGCTGACCTAATATGGAGCGTTTTACTTTGTTAACTCTGTATTCAGCCCTGTGACGGCGTCTTTTTTTTAATACACTTACCATAAACTCTGTTGCAACAATGCATTTATTGAGGCAGAGTACTGGCACTTGTTTGGAAGATTGGGCTCAACAATTGTTGAC